GGGATTTTAATTCCTGTTACACCAAACAGCCAATAAATCAGAAGGGTCGTTCAAGCACGCTTCGCATATCCTCTTCTATTCGCAAACCCTCTTTACGATCCCATCGTGCGCATCCCTCGGTATCCAGGAGACTCCAGGCTCTGCTCGTAAATGATAAAGCGTTACGGCGTTACGGCGTTACGGCGTTACGACCCGCGTAAAGCCTCTCTGTATCGAGGATGCCCCCCGACGGCCGAACCTCTCAGAGTGCCGAGTCGCGAACGGCGTCGCCTTTTTCGTCGCCAGAGATTCTAATCGGGCCATTCGACCTGCTTGCAGGCTGCGTTTGGCAAGGCAGAGCCTGCCAGCTGGTCGTCAACCACGAGGAAGGCTTCATGCTCTACGCAGCTGGGACGCGCGGCGTCGCCGGCAATGGAATCAGCCCAGGCTCCCCACCTACTCCTCTCTGGAGAAGGTCCTTCGACAAGCTCAGGATGTCCGCGGACGACGGTGCTCGCCTCCTGTGGCTCGACTTTGGTGGCGACGACGGAGAAATTGTAAGTTTAGCCTGCGAGCGGCGCAGTGCGCTCCCGTAGTACCTGCACTCACAGCCTCTCCTGCCAAGTTAATCTTCTTCTTTCTGACTTTTCCGCGAGTTCCTCGACGCCTCGTAGAAACTTCTTGGCGTCCTCGAATTTCTTTAATTTATAAAGATTCGGGGACGCCGAGTTCCTTTCACGTTGGACAGAAGTTGACGATGCGATTCACTCGTGTTTTTCAGGAACTCGACCTCGAGAGCTGCCCGAAGCCGATAGTCTTTGTCTTGCACAACTTCCTGTCTGCAAAGATTCACCGTTTGGGCCTGAGCGCATAGGGGTACGAGGGGGCCCCGTCGGAGGCCCCCGACCTACCCCCACACACCACTAGGTCCGTAACTAGTGTCTTTCTGCATTAAACATTTGCCAGCCGCCAGCAGCAGCAGCAAGACGACGTCCAGCGTTCCGAGGGACGTGCCGATGACCGCAGAAGCCACAAATTAGTAATCGGGAAGCAAGAAGCAATAATCTTTTGAGCGTGCTCTTCCTTCCTCTTGCCCCCCCCCCTCCCCCTATTTCCTCACCGTTCTCTAGTGCAGCTGCTAATTGATTTTCGGCGTCTGCTGGTCAACGTCCAACGGTCTCCAGGAAACGCGGTCGCGTTTAAAAGCCAACGACATAACTTAAGAAAGTATAGCGACTGTATCGTGGTCGAGGACTGCATCGTGCAGGCTGTCCAGAGATGTCACGAGAATCGACACGAAGCCATCCAGGAAGTGAAATCGGAGAAATCCGAGAAAAGAAGAAAACGAGAGAAGATCGCTAATAATCAACGCGCCTAATTAATTATCTAACTACTAACTAACGAAAAAGAGACAGACAGATTATCGATAAATATTAACGAATTATTATCCTATGAATAACGATTGCGCATTTGCATGATACTATTAATTCGGTGAATAGCGAGTAATTTATTAATGTGAAAACGTGTTTCTCACTGCTGCCGACTTTCGCGACTGCCGAGCCGCAAGACAGGAAGCTCAAAGCTCAAAGCTCAAAGCTCAAAGCTGGAGCCTCGAGGTTCGCTTCTCTCTCGAACTTCCTTCCGTCGCCCTCAGCGCGCACCGAGTCTGAGGATTGCTTGGATTTGGATCCAGATACGGACGTCTTACGTCTTACGTCTTACGTCTTTCCGCTTCCACTCAGCTTCCACTCCGCCTTCGGTGCATTGGAGATGCGCTCGCTGGGAAAGGTACACTGCACGATGCGCTGTGGACGAAGGGAGGGAAGAGGAGGAAGAAGAAGGTGGAACCCTCGGCGGAAGTGACCGTCAAGTGACCGTTCCGCGCAGGAAGCGCAGTGGTAGCAGTGGTAGAAATCTTTAGAAATTTGGACACGCGAGACGCCGGACTCGGCCGATCGCTGAAGGATCGCGTCGTCCTCTGCAGGCAAAAGGGAAGGAAGGAGTCGAAGGGCCGAGCGTCTTCAGCGACGCCCGATTCGTCAGTTCCGACGCCTGATTTCTGGGAGGGCAGCTGCCTGCTGGAGGGTTAACGTCCAGCGGGGAAGGGGAACTGCGGGACGCGGAAGGAAGGAAGGAAGGAGAGAGACAAGGAAATGTAGAAAATGTAGAGGAAAGCGGACGAAGGAAAAGTCTCGCAGTGAGCCGCCTAGTTGTTTTGTACGGTTCGTATCCTTACCAGCGCAATGAATAGTTAGAGGTCGCAGGGAATCCGTGACGTCGGGGACGCTCGGAGAGGCAGCGATAATTAGTTAACGAATATTTGTTGATAAAATAACTATACATAAGGATTCGGTGTATAAATACGTGGGGAAACGACGGCGTGAGAAAAGGAGGTGGTGGGGGAGGGGGAGGCGTCGTAGTTGTTGAAATCGATAATTGGAAAAAGGCGATAAGAAACGACGAAGGGAATAATCGCGCAGGTCGCCTCCTCTTACGTGGGCGCAAATTGCCCTAGAGTTTAGTAGACATATCAACGAAGCTGCGTACATACATTGATTGTCCATTATCTTCCACGTGACGTTCGCGATAACCCGACCGACCCGACCGACCCGACCAACCCGGAAGGAGTTTAATCGATATTCCAGCTGACTGCCTGACAGAATTTCGCTCTCTATCTGGCTCTAATCCGACTGGACGCGGTGCGCCTGATGCATCGCACATTGCGATACCGTCGAACACTTCTCGTGCACTGCCTTCTCGGATCATTGCGTTTGCGCGATTCTCCGGAGACAAAGGTCCTCCGCGATCGAAGCCCCGAGAGTCAGGTGATCGCGGACGACGCGTACACAATTACACATGCGTAGGAGCCACATGCATACGTAACTCATTCTGACTAAGTTTAAGGGCGATTAAGTTCGAGCGAACTGAACGTATAAATTCTGTATTTTTCTAATGATTTAGCCTTTGCGATCGAATAACGAATTTACGTGAAATTACGTGAATCGCAACGACTTCGAATTGAATTGATCGGTAAAGTCCTTTTTCTCCTTTACGTTACACATGTTGATGTATCTATGAGTTACCAAATAAACGAACGGTTAGGCATCGAGTGGTTACCAATCCGCCTGTTACCTGTTTGTCCTCGAGAAACCTCGTGAGAGTTCCCCTCATCCGCGAACGATAAGAACTTATAAGTACTATAAAGCTGCAGTAAGGAAGCCGAAAGCCGAGGACCGACGGGTGAGTATGGATCAGTTTATTTACATAAAATATTTCTGGCCTATCCGTCTTTACCCATCATCCTTACGGGCAGTACAGGGCAGTATAGGGCAGTATAGCTGTGACAGCTCTTGAGAACGGTCTGGACCGGGCGACTGGACGAGCAGAAGCCTCGGGCGGCTGCTGAATAAAGAGACGAAGCTGCGAGGTGGACGGCGAGAGGCAAGGATGCCGATACCTGCGCTTATGCTGCTGATGCCAGTGGGAGCTCCCACTAGTAGCTTGCAGGTCGAAGAGCAACGGGAAACTCTGGCTGAAGAACTTGGGGACTTTGTCATTTTTATCGGCATCTCGATCCCCGTCTCGTGATTGGCCGACAAAACTTTCCTGATCTGTCTTTCGCGAGAGTTCCGATCTCCCTGGCTTACCACACGTAAATCACCGGGTTCAAGACACCCGTTATATAACTTTTCTATCCTTCCTCTCGGTCCTCTAAGGGGCGGAATGCGAAGATAGATCCCCAGGAGCAGCAGGATGCGCGCGAGGACAGGTCCTCCTCCGTACCCAGCAGGAGGAAAAACTCGGGAAATATGAGAGCCTCGTGCTTTTCGCGCAACCTTCGCTCTTTGTCGCAAAATTTTATATCGAGTGAGAATAAAGAGACGAGAGAGGAGACTCTCGGAGGTTCGAGACTTCTTCCCTCCCGAGGATTTACGGCCTCGACTACCACACGCATTTGCTCTACTCGCCCGAACGATTTTAATTGCGACTCGACGCCTATATTTACAGAGGACAATCATTGAAAAATGATAGATCGGCCAATTGAAATGCAAATTGAAGTGCTCCGACTGACAACCCCTATTTCGCCGGGATCCCCCGACCCGCTCCCCTGCTCCACTTTGCTTTTGTTAAGGGCTGCCGGCGCAGCTCGATTCCTGTGAATTCGATCGCTCCATCATACCCACGGAAATGGCTATGCGGGATAGCTCAATGGCCTCAATGCCTCGATACCTCAATGCCTCAATCCTGCAGGCAGTCACTCTTGCACCCTCCGCACCCTCCGCACCCTCCGCACCCTCCCCATCCTTCACATACTTTGCATCCCGTATACTCATCCCTAAGCTCCTCTCGTTCCTCCGCGTCGTCTTCTCATACACACATTCTCTCTCTCTCTCTCTCTCTCTCTCTCTCTCTCGTTACTCACACGCGTGCACACACCATCCGTAAGTGGCAACGCATCCTGCTGGTGCGGATAAGCCGTGCTTCAATTACATTAAACCTCAGCGGCTCACTTCGTCGTCAGTCCGTCGCTGCCGCGCGCAGCCAATGAGCAAACGAAACTGGTCTCGGCTGATATCTACTGCGAATGCTGCCTGTTTTCCTCGGGGAATTCACCAGAAGTTCAACCAAACTGAGAGAAGGAACGATGAAACGAATATCGATATTTAGCCGCCCCCTGGCCTCTGTACAGCCTTCCTTAAATTTTGCATAATATTGAAAAACAAATTGTGCTATATCCTTTCCCAGAAGTGGAGCCATCAGCCGAAAAATCATTAGTCACTGGTAGCGCAAAACGTTCGGACAACCGTATCGAAAGCGATTCCCCCAGAAGGAGTCATTTGAACGAACCCCTGAAGACTTCCTCGAGAAGAAGAAACAGGAGACGAGGATGAAGAATCTTCTTACCGAGAGTGCCGCTCTTCGAAGCTTTCCTCGATAAAAGCTTTTTTCCTTCTCATCTCTGCAGCCCCCTCTCCTGCCCCCCCCCCCC